TATATTAGCCCAGCTACTTCACTGGCTTGCTTACCCATATTATTCCATGCACTGAATTTGCATTTAGAGATGTGAGGAGCCTGTCTAAATTGTAGTGATTTCAGCCACTGAAAATGGGCACTTACACTAAATAGCATATCTTATTAATACTAATCTCACCAAAATAGAAATCACTGCAGCTTTCATTACTACTGCAAAGAATGTAAACTTATGTTCTTTTACCATAAACATATTCCAAGATTCCTGTATTTCATACACAAAGTTTACATACAAGCTTTGTGATTCAAAAAGAAATTAAAGCTAGAATACCTCCACAAGTGAGGCAGGACATAATGTGAATCAGGATATAAAAGTAAGACATGACAGAAGAAATAAAGACCTGTTTTTGAGATGTGCATAAAAACAGGAAATGTTAAATGTCAGCAACCCGAGATGATCAGAGCTACCCTGACATGACAGCTTATGTAGCATTGGAAATGCCAAGGGAACAGCCCCAGATATTCTAAAGCAGAGGGACTCCAGGCAACTGTAGATTTAAAGGGACATAAGCAGGGAGAATGGTATATACTCCCAGATGGAAGAATTTCTGTACCAGAAAATTTAGCCTGTCCAGTAAGACTCTCAGTCAACACCTCACATGGGCAAGAGTGCATTAGCAAAAGCTTTTCAGCATAACATGTACATCAATCCCCTTCATTCACTATGTGTCCATGCAACTGAGAGATGTAACACATGTGCTCAAGTTAATCCAAGACAAGGACCTAGTCTTCCACCAGGAAGTCAGCTCAAGGGATATTACCCTATAGATTCATTAGTTATTGATTTCACAGACATGCCCAACTGTGGGCTATATAAGGCAATGCTAGTCATAAATGGGTGAATGCATTGTCACTGGCATTTTGGTCTGTGTGATGCACTCCACGAAAGGGAATTAGGTTATCTCCTTTTGAAATGATATTTGGAAGACACCACCACCACCCCGTTATGTTAACTTGAAAACTCATGTAGTGGTCCTAGGTCAAATAGGGACCTCATGGGTGAATCAAATGGTGGGAGAATTAAAACAAATATAAGAAATCCAAAAATATTGTGTGTCCCTCAGTCCACCATTTCTGAACACCTCTACTTGTAACATTCAGGTGGGGTACAGAGTATGGGTAAAACACTGGAAAGGAGAGAATTTGAAACCTAGGTGGAAGGGCCCATATACTGTGGTCATGTGTTCTCACCTGCAGTAAGAGTGTTGGAATCCAGGTTTTGGATTCACTGGACTCGAGTTAAGCCAGCTACTGATAAGTATTGGGAGGCAGACCAGGACGAAGCCCGTCCTTTAGTGGTATGCTTGAAGAAGCACCTCCTATAACTGTCCTACCAGCAATGGGTAGACTACATATGGGACAGAAGAGGCCTTACTGGTAGTCACCCCCTGGAAGTTGACCCTCTACATATGGCTGAAGATTTGGAAGAGGAAGACAACGTTCCATGTATTAGGACAGTGTTTTTCAACCTTGGCAACTTGAAGATGTCTGGACTTCAACTCCCAGAATTCCCCAGCCAGCGAATGCTGGCTGGGGAATTCTGGGAGTTGAAGTCCAGACATCTTCAAGTTGCCAAGGTTGAAAAACACTGTATTAGGAAACCTGGCCACCTGTCAGGACATGCAAAGTCAAGCATACATAGCCATAACTGCACAATCTATTGCTTTAGTGAATGTGCTTGCCCTTATTGTGATTTGTTGTATTGGATATTCGTTCTTCTGGAATTGCCCCCTCCCAAGAAAGACAGGTGGAGGCTAAAATCACTGACTGTGACAGAGGGCAGTAGGAAACTCCTGGAGACGCTTATGTTTGAGGAAACCTGGGAGTGGGCTCTTTGTAGCGCAGTACTCATCCTGGGACTATGGACGTTGTATTTAATAAGGGTTGGTTCTGTGGGACACCTAAGACTGATATTGCCCTTTCCCAGATCATATACAACCCCAATCTTCTTCCTGACGAGGTGATTTTGTAGATTAAGGGAATTGTGATTGGATAGGTTCTGTGTAAGGGACAATTAGGAGCTTTTAAAGCTTTGGCTGTTATTGGCAAAGGGCCTACTGAGTGATAACATCCTGAACAGTAGTTCCCAATGTTGTGAGAATGCCCGAGTGACACCCCCCCCCCTTGCCTTTGAGGGAGAATCCGGGGATGTTGAGAACCCCAAGGAACAGGGCAGGATCAGGTCACAGGGTGTGGACACTTTGGGAAGGCCCGCTCCCGTCAAAGGTGCATCGTCTATGCATGGGAAAGGTACCCTGAACCTAAGCCAATCCCAAGTCCTAAAGACAAGCGCCTGACAATTCCATTAAAATGTGGGGTAGAACAAAAGAAGAATGGGCCCCTGCAACAATTGTGAAAAGGAAACTATATGTTAAAAACTGGAATTGGGTCAAAAGCCATATTAATCAGTCAGACCCTGACCCAGGCCAGAAATGCTGGCTGCGCTTATCTGCTGCCCTTCATCCTACAATGCTGTTCCAGTAGAGCCAGACCTTTGGGTAAAGACCAGGGCCACAGTGATCCTTGAGAAGGGTGGTAGATGGAGAACCAAAACGGCAGAAGCCAAGTTACAAGGTGATTTTTACAATACATTAAAAAGGCTGGAGATGAGCTGACTTCCCATTGCTGGTCCTATAGCCATTGGTGTGGACGTCCTAGGGTCGTCCTCCTTATGTGTCAAACGATATCAGGAACCTGGCATTCCTGTGGAGTCACTTGGCAGAAGAGCAATGTCCATCAGAAGTATACCCTAGCCCTAGAGAGACACTTATGGACATAAAACTAACCTGCAGTATTTCTCCTTCTGCCCACAACCTCTTCCAACAGAAAGTCACCTTCTCACCTCTGCCCCCTCTAAGAACTACCCGTTTGGGGGGGGGAGGGGATTTGACATATGAAAAGTGCCCACGGCCATTTCAGCCACCCTGATTCCCAATTTGGCCCTCAATTCGATCCTCAACAGGATTATGTGATCTATTTCCCCCTGGAAATACCAGTTCCCATTCTGCCCGCCTCCGCCTTGTTCCCATACTGGAACAAGTTACCCAAGATATTTAGTAACAGGAACATGTTATATTCTGGTGTTCTGCTGCTTTTGAAAGATATATAAGAACTCTTTTCTGTAAGTTGTTGTTCAGATGTTCAAATGGCTGTCTTGCCTTAATTTGCTCTGAACCTGGTACTAATAAAGCCACTTCTTTTGATTCCGATATCTGAGTCCCTTAATTTCATGCAACACAAGTAAAAGGCAAATACTTCTTAACCAAATTGTAAAACTTTAAAAATTATAACAAAAGGATTTTTCTTTTTGTTTCTTTGAATCATTGTTGATTTCTGACAACTGCCTGGACGAGTCATTAATTTCCTTGGCAAGATTTTGCCATTTGCCTGCTTCCCAGGGCTAAGAGTGAATGACTGGTCAAAGGTAACCTATCTTGCTTAATTCCTTAATAAACTAAGAACTCAATGTCCACATTTCTAGCCTGGTGCCTTAGCCCAGTGTTTTTCAACCACTGTGCCGCGGCACACTAGTGTGCCGTGACATAGTGTAAGGTGTGCCGTGGGAAAAACACTCTATATATAGTCAATATAGGCACAGAGTTAAATTTTTTTAACATTTTCTAATGGTGGTGTGCCTCGTGATTTTTTTCATGAAAAAAGTGTGCCTTTGCACAAAAAAGGTTGAAAAACCCTGATGTAGATGATACATATTTGATGTAGATGATACATATTTGATGT